AGAGGCTACATGCTGCAGGGATTATTATACTATAAAGCAGCTTTAGGTAGCAAATACTGTAAGAATCACGCACATAATGTCATAAACCAATGCAGACTGGGTTACTGGCTATTCTGCTGGAATTAAGAGTGTTAATTACCGGGACAGTTATAACAGTGCGCATGCAGGCATGTGCGCGTTCTTTGTGGGCTTGGTCAGAGTCCAGGGGCCGTTTTTCAGTCCCAGTCCCTCTCTGATAGATCAACCCATACTAAAGTGTAGGATCACACTAAGACTTTCTTACCATAATCTCCCAATTAAGCTATGCTAAAGTAAGGCCATACTCTCTAATAAAGTAATTTGGGGTTTCATTTTAAAGGCAACTTAAAACGAAATGCTGCATTTAACCTAATGTCAACGTGTATTCTTTTGACTTGCATTTACTTTGACTATTTCAATGGTTATGCTACTTTAAATTTCTCGAGAAGAATGACAAATAATCATTTTTTTAAATCATGCAAAAGTGCAATAAAATATACATAAGTACCAAAAGTAAAAAATATATACTTATTTAAAAATCTGAGTTTATGTTCAACCATAGAATTATTCTTGTAAAAACAAGACATGTTTCTAATGCTGCAGGTAAGAGTGGCTCTAATAAAATTACTATTTTTCTAATCATAATTTCTTGTATTATTAACCAGGCATTAATGTTTTATTATGTAATCCTGTACCAAAGGAAGTGGTCACAGTGTCAGGCTGGAGCGGGACAATATCATGACGATCTTCTCTTTAAAAGGAAACAAATGTTTCACCATCATTTTCCTTCTGCTCGTGGCTTTCTTACTCTATGCACTTCATAGAACGGACTTCCAGGTGAGAACTGTTATCTATGATCACTAATAAGGTTGACTTAATGTATAAATATGAGGATTAACTTTCTAGAAATATACTAATTCTTTGCAAAATACATTTCAGGTATTTATTCTTTACATATGCTTTTATTCGAGCATATCGTTTAATAAATAAAAAAACAAGAGTATCCATCAAATTCCATTTCTGAACTGCAGGAATGAATTGAATTCCAGAAATGTTTAATATTTTGCTAAAACAAATGTTTCCTTTTTCAGCTTTACATATGGGCCACATCTGGCATCACTAATAGGGTGAACCTAATGTGAAATGTTTAACATTAGTCCGGTTTCAGGAGATTGTTTTAAATGTGTCTCAGGATAACACTTATGTTCTTCATTGCAGTAAAATGTGAAATAGTAGCCACGTCTCTAGTTTAAGGCGAAGAGTGGTATTTGCGAGCTATAAGATAGTTGAACTTGGACTGTTTTTTCATCTTTCTCTTCTTTCAAGACGTTAATTATGCTACACTTACTTCAACAACAACGGCGCATAAATATGAGAGTATACATTTTTCCAAATTATAGGTATGAATTCTTTGCAAAATACATTTCAGGTATTTATTCTTTACATATGCTTTTATTCGATTGGGGGGAAAAGCACACAGTTTAATAACTAGAAACAAGGGTATCCATAAAATTCAATTTCTGAACTGCAGGATTGAATTTAATTCCAGAAATGTTGAAAACAAATGTTTTACTTTTTCAGCTTCACGTATGGGACACATTGGTGGGTTATTTTTGGATTTGTTTTTTGCATGAGCCATCCACAGTGTGTGTTTAGAGTAATGTGTTGGCACAGTTGTTGCTGATTAGAAAAAATATGTTGTGCTCAAACCAACATTTAAAGTTAAAAAATACTGAGAACATCAGATCATTTATCTATGATCACGGTCGTGCTGATGGCAAAGACACGAGGCATTACAGGGGATAGAAGAGATATACATCCAAAGGATTATTCTTTGTTCAGATTTATGTTCAGCAATAATGCCACTTCATTACATCCCATCATATAGGCAGGATTATGTGAATGACATTTATGAAACACCATAAAGATTAAGGAGCAGAAGTATCGAGATAACATTTATGTGGATAACATCATACAGAGGAATTAAGGGAAATGAAAATGTGACACATTAGCCAAGCAGTCTCTTAAACATGAGTCAATAATCAACACTAAGGCAAATAACATAGTGAAATAGAACATCATTAAGGACTGGCAACACAATTGGGACAAAACCGAGACGACACCTATATGCACTGCAGCCAAAAATCAGTCGGGACAGTTAAAAGAACCATCAATTTGGATAATGTGTTAACAAGGCTTAGATTAGGACATACTAGACTGAACAAAACATTACATTATTCATAAGGAAAATACCTATCTGGATTATATGAACACTGCCAGGTTGAGGAATCAGTAGAACAGGTAATTCTGCAGTGTGCCAAATACAGTCAAGAAAGAGAAACTTTAAAGACAGAAATCAGGAAGCCTGGAATGGAACAACTGAACTTCGAATAGATATTAGACGTTCGATGTTAGGAGCTGAGTTATGGACATAGTGAAAGGCAAACATTACACAACGGTTGTCAACCCCCTTAACAAATGTTCATTCATTTGCTTCCAGTGCATTTGTTTGACGTATCGACGCACACTCCTCTATCTCTCTCTATCGATTTACAAAAGCAGGAAAAACAAAGTAAACAGTACAGCCGGTCAGTAATTCACAAACATGTTTGTTTTTTTTAAAGCAAGAGTGAGTGTAGATTTTAGATTTTACTGTCTGATGAAAAATATGGAAGAGTTTTTAAATCGGTGGTGTTTCCCTACAGCTGTGTGCTCTGTGGTGGGGGGGAGAGCTCGGTTTTAACTCGGTCTTTAAGGACAATACAAAAAAAAGAGAAACATTTTCTCTAAATGTCTAGGTAATTAAGTTAATTGTTGTTGAACATCAAAATAAAAGTGTTTTAAAAAAAATCTAAAAAAAGTTCTCTCTCTCTCAAGCCCTTCAAGTTTCAGAGCTCCACCATCATCTACCCAAAAGCTAGAACTGAACTTCCCAAAGTCAGCAGGATCTGCAACTTCCCACCATTGTCCCCTAAGGATGCTCTGGAGGAACGCCTGCTACTAGAATCTGTTGCTTGGCCTGAAACTTCTGAATTACCATCTCCTCTTTCCCTGGAGCTGACCAGTCATCCAGCTCACAGCTCTTTCAACATTCTCCCAGCGAGAGGAGGACGACAGTGGCACGTAGGGGATCAGCTGGAAGTCAGCATCGTCATCTCTGACTTCAAGGGACAACCCAAGAAGTTTGGGGGGGACGTTTTATTAGCCCGGCTGCACAACCTAACGCTTGGTGCAGGTGTAGCTGGGCGAGTGGTGGACCATCTCAATGGGAGCTACTCTGCTGTCTTTCCTTTACTCTGGGAAGGAGCAGCTCAGGTTGAGGTGATGCTTATCTATATTTTTTATGTGATTTTGCTGTAGTAGTCCTTTGTCTACCATTTGTAGCCACCAATTGTAGATTTTCAACAAAACTCTTTTGACCCAATCAGGTGACGCTAGTTCATCCCAGTGAAGCTATCACAGTGCTGAACAGGTTAAATCGTGAACAACCTGATAGGATATTCTACAAAAGCCTCTTTCGCTCAGGCTCACGCTCTCAAACCACCACCTGTAACATCTGCCTGCGTGAAACCAAGCAGCCAATCTGTGACTTCACCGACCCTCGAACCGGCGATCCTTGGTTCTGCTACAAGCCAAAGAACATGAGCTGTGATACAAGGATTACCCACAGCATGGGAGGATACAAACAAAACCTCAAGGCCAAGGAGGATAAGCTCTTTCAAGGGTAAGGAAGCAAAGAGACTGGTCATTTGTGTGACTTCTCATAAATATTATGTGTTACCTATTTATCTCCTTGGCTGGAAGTTTCAGAAGTTTGTCAGTACAGGCAGTTTAGATTAAAAGATAATACAAATGTAACCACTCAATCTGAATCATAGTTGGCCTTTATTCAAAAAATAAATGTATAGGATATATAAAAACTATTTTCATGTGGATCTTTTGTTTTAATTTGATCACATAACATCTACGAATGTCGAAGTAACCTTTCTCTCATTCTCCCTGAGGTTCTTCTATTTTTTCGCTTTAATCCCTTAATTGTGGGGTTTCTTTGAGGGAATTTTTCCTTGTGCTGCGAGTGTGTGAGGACAGAGGGCATTGTGTGCTCCAGAATACACGCAAGTAAATGAGACACATGTGTGATATTTCGCTTTAACAATGTAATTTGATTATTTTATCCAGCTTTGGTCAAATATACTTTTATTGTCTTTTGCAAAATGTTACGCCGTAAGGCTTAGTTCTAAGGTGGGAACCTTCCAAGTACACACAAGGAAAGTTTAGGGGGGCAAAAGCTGCAGCAAAAGACCCCTAATAGGGAACAGAACAGAGAAGGCATCAATGACAATATAAATGATATGTGATTCGTCAGATACAGCATGAAAAGTAGACCTTCTAAACTGTTAACCCCAGGTAAATCTCCATGCTATTCAAGGTTCAAGGCTTTTATTAGACATACATAGCTGTTAGGGAATAATTTGCTTAGGTATTCAACCTTCAACAAAGTTCAAAAATGTATTTATTGTGTGATTTTGGAAATGAAAGTTTCATATTCTAAAAGCCACCACTTTGTTTATTTAAAATCAAACAAAACACCCGAACCCCGGAAAACTATTTTTTTACGCAAATCCACGTTTATTTTGAAGTGAGCCGTTGCGACTTCCGACTGATTTCGATAGAGCGGGTCACAAATGTATGATATTGATAAATACATGATAAAGTTAGTTAGGATTAAATTATTTGTGTTATTATGTATCTGTGATTTTCATGTTCATTATTATGCTTTTGACAAAAGATGCTCCAAACACTGATGAGAGATAATTTGTATGATTGTGATTCACTGTTTAAATCTGAAATGTAGTATTAATGTGATTATTTGCAACATTGTGTAGAATGCCTACACCCTTTCTGAAGAATCAAATGTATTAGGGTATTGAACAAATTATTAGGGGTGCAACGAATGGAAAATTCTTGGCCGAAACCGATACCGAAAATAGGAAACAGTTGGCCGAAAACCGAAAGCCGAAAGGCCGAAAATGATTAATAGAAATATATATAATGTATACATTTTTTACCAATGTTGTTCAGCTACCTGATTATGGAAAAAGACATGATTATGGCAAAACTTAACTTAAATAATAATCACTATTATGGGTCCATAAAACATTTATTCAGCACTTTTGAATGCATACAGTACATTAATTCCAAGTCAAGTG